GGAGTCGTTTCCTGTACTCCTTGGAAATAATTTCCCAGTTGCCAGGGGTGTCTGGGGGGAGGGTGTTCATGTCTGGTCTAACCCTCTCTGCTTCCGGGAGCCCCCCCAGGCACCCCCCCGACCTGCTCTTAAGTAAGATAACACGTTGTCCTATTTGATTTAGTCAGTTTGGGTGGGGACTGCTGTTACATGCCGCCAAAAGTATTGCTGTGGATCCTCTGTGGACAGGGCTTGTACGTGGGAAAGTTCTGGCCCATCTAAGAATTGGCGTCATTCTTTCAAGGAGCCTAATTTGAACTTACCTTGTATCAGCGATTAGTGTCTGCTCCTTGTCCCTGGGAGGTGGAGTGGGGGGCTCTGCTTCCCGCCCAGCTCCTTCCTTTTATATCAGCAAGGAGGGCTGGGGGCAGTCAAGACAGAGAGGACAGGAGGTCCAGTCAGAGAGAAGAGCTGACCCTAGGCTGCCCGTGGCTGTGACCTAGGGCTTCTCTGAGCAACTTTTGGCTCCCTGGGTACTTTGAGGACAGAGGCTAATCCCATCGCTTGCCTATCCATGACCCGTCCCTTCTGCTCCATCCTTCCTGGCAGAGCCCAAATGGGGGCATCAGGTGGCACGGGGCAGTGTGGGCTCCTCTCCAGCCCAGGGAGTAGAGAGTACTTTCCACAAGCCAACCTGCCACTTGGGGGTAAAGGAGAGGCCACAGGAGGCAGTTCTGGTTTCTGGAAAAGCCATCCTTTGCTCATGAAAAGCTACACCAAGAAGGAACTTCTTGTTTCCTATGAGAATGCTCTGAGGCCTCTGAGCAGTACACAGGCCACCTCTTGCAGTCTGGAGCTGTAGCAGTCATCTCAAAAGCACGAAGGGACATGCCTGAGGACCAGAGACCACCCTCTAAGGACAGCAGAGAGGAGAACCAAGGGAGATCTGGGTCCTCGTTGGCATCAAGGAGCATCTGAGTTAACCAAAACTGGCCTGCTCACCCCCACTCTTCCCCGACCTGTTCTTTTTTTTTTTTTTTAATTTATTTGAGAGAAAGAGAGAGCACGAGTGGGGTGGGGGGGCAGAGGGAGAAGGAGGAGCAGGCTCCTCTCTGAGCAGGGAGCCCAACATGGGGCTCGATCCCAGGACCCCGAGATCATGACCTGAGCCAAAGGCAGATGCTTAGCTGACTGAGCCCCCCAGGCGCCCCCCGACCTGCTAAGTAAGACAACATGTTGTCCTTATTGATTTAGTCAATTTGGGTGGGGACTGCTCTTACATGCCGCCAAAAATATTGCTATGGATCCTCTGTAGGCAGGGCTTCTTGTATGTGGGAAAGTTCTGGCCCATCTAAGAATTGGTGTCATTCTTTCAAGGAGCGTAATTTGAATTTAACTTGTGTCAGCGATTAGAGTCCAGTCATGCCAGTGATGGATAAACAAGAAATGCATTTGTAGGTGGACAGGTTCTCCTGGAACAGCCTCATTCTAAGGAAATAGGAGCCTGACCCAATGGCCAAGCCTTTCCTTTTGGAAGGAAGTAGATATTCTGAATGTTTTCTCTGAGCCCAGTTTACATGGACTCAAGTGTGGGTCCCTTGGGCTAAAACCTGAGCGACCCCGGTGCCCCAGCAGTTCTGTTTGGGAGCCCTGGGTCAGAACGGACCCCCTCCCTCTGCACACACAGCTCAACAGTGCTACTCTGAGACCTGGGGCCGGGGGCAGTGCCTGTGAGAAGGGGGGGGGTCCTGCACAGAGAATGCAGGTGCTTCTCGGAATCGGGGGGATATGGCAGTACCTGTGAGATGTCATGGCAACAGTGAAGGGGCCAGATCAACAGAGCAGTGGTCTCTGTTCTGGGTTTCCAGGGAGCAGAGCCCAGGACCCGGAGTTGAGTGCAGGTGGCTTATTTGGGAGATGACCCCAGAAGCAAGAGTGAGAGGAGGCTGGAAGGAGAAAGCCGCCTTGCACGGCAGTGTCATGGAGGACCCCGCGGGGAGGGCTGGAGCTCAGTGCTGCTGAGATGTCTGAGCGGCATCAAGGAGCCTCTCAGAATCTTCTGCGCTGACAGAGAGGGCCGGACTATTCATCCACTAGCTCCCGCCGCTCACTGGAAGGAGGTTGGCCTTAGAGGCCTTCGTTGCCATCACTTCCCAGGCTTACAGGTGGTGTGAGCTGTATGCCCCCAGGCCCTGCCCACAGGGAGAGCCCCACCAGTCAGGTGACCCCAGCGGCTCGGAGGGGGGCGTGGTGGGGGCTCGCGATGGCACTCAAGGGCTTGTTCATGGCACATGTGACACACCCCTTGAGGATGCCCAGAAACACTCAGAGACTTCCTCAAGGGCTGGGGTCTTATTTTGGCAGATGAGAGGCAGAGCTAATGAGGACCCAGCGGAGTCCTTCACGGGGGACCCTGTGCCTTCCCTGGCCCTGTCTCCAGCCACCAGCCACCAGCCTCGGGGGTCTCTGAGTACAATGGCTGCGGAGGGAGACAGGGCAGTTCTGAAGCCCAGGGCAGACCCCGACCACTCCGAACCTTGCAAGTGGAGTGATTTTTTTATGGCCGGGATTAGAAAGGGTTGTAATATTTTTCGTAATTGATTCCTGTAATTGCGAATCAGTAGGACCAATTGGCACCCTGGCTGGGTTTGTTTTGTGGTGAAGTGATTGGGGCCCAAGAGGAGGTGAAATCCAGCACATTTTCAGCTTTGCTGGGGGCGGGGGTGGTGGCAGGAGGAGCGGAGACCAGGGGCAGACAGGGAGTTGCTTCCTCTCTTCTCCTCACCCCTGCGCTCGCACAAGCAAGGGGAGGGGGCATCCAGCAGGCCGAGAGGGCTGGGGGCCAGGCTGTCCCCTCTAGACTCTGGGGGCTGTCTCCTGCTAGAAAGTTTGGCCCAGAGGAGAAACAGCTACCTTCTTGGGCTTTCTCTCCTTTATTCATTTGGTGTTTTATTTATCCCGTCAGTACCTTGCGGACACGTCCTGTGCACCGCCTACATTCCAGACTCCAGCTGGAGAACGGGAATGCAGTGGTAGACAGGAGAGCTTTGGTCTCTGTCCTCATGGGGACACTGGCATCGCACAACGAAGCAGTCAGAATTCAGCAGCCAAGAAGGGAATCCCCTCTCCTGTGCTCGAGAACGCTGATGCCTCTACAACAAAGCGGAGCCTCGTGCTTGCTTCTCTCCCCTCTTAACTCTGTTCTGAATTCGAGTTTCAGATGAGCCCATCGATCAGCAGAACCTAAATCAGCGTGGGACCCTCGTGGCCAGGGAGTCTGTGCATCTGGGCTTCCGCTTTCCAGGAGCACCCCTTCGAGGAAGACATGGGAAGGGATTGTGAGTGAGCAAACATGGGACTTGCAAACCAGCAACTGAGTGCACGAGTGAATTAAGTTCCTCTGTGGTAAGTGCTTTGCAGAAAAAGCAGAGGGATTTGTCAAAAGGAACTTCCCTAAACTCTTGGCAAGAACCGAGAGGAAGTAATGAGTGGGAAAGTGGACAGTCGGAACGTCCATGGACACTCTGATGACAGTGGCTTCTAGAATCAAAGGCACAGACACCACGTCCACTGGAACTTGGCTGTGTTCCTTCCCCTTTCCAGTTCCCAGCCCATAAGGTGGTCACTGCTTATTCCCAACACAATGGAATGAGATCCTGAGTCTCTATTTCCCCTCATCAGGTCTGAGACCCTCATTCAAATGGCCTACGTGTCCCGTTACCCTGAGCTCCATGGACCCGCAGTGTGGTGGGCACAGTGATTGACCCACCCTCTTGGCTCAGGTCATCAGAACTGCCTGCCTCTGGAGGGCTCCCCAGTGACCCTTGCCGCTGTGAGGCCACCCCTGTGCTTGGGGGAGTGACCCAGCCCACTCTAGAACTACGTGATCCCCACACCTCTCTCAGTGTTTCTTCAAGTTTGGTCTCGGGGCCAATCTACATTAAATCTTCCCGCCAGCTTTATTGCAGTCTGATTGACAAATAAAAATCATACATATTTAAGGTGTACAATGTGATGTTTTGATATATGCATCCATTGTGAAACCATTACCACAATCCAGCTAATTAACATATCCATTACCTCACATTAGTTATATTATTTGTGTGTGTGTGTTTTGAAAACACTTGAGATCTACTCTCTTAGCAAATTTCAAGTATACATCATTATTAACTGTAGTCACCATTCTGTATACCAGGTCTTCAGAACTTACTCATTTTGTAACTGAAAGTTTGTACCTTTTGATTAATATCTCCCCTTTCCCCCATCTCCCAGCCTCTGGTAACTGCCATCCTACTCTCTGTTAGGATGAGCTCAACTTGTTTTGTTTTGTTTTGTTTTTTTAAGATTCCAAATGTAAGTGAGATCATTTGATATTTGTCTTTCTGTGTCTGGTTTATTTCACTTAATGTAATGTCTGCCGGGTCCACCCGTGGAGTTGCAAATGGCAAGCTTCCCTTCTTCTTTAAGGCTGAGTGATATTCCATTGTCTATATATGCCACATCTTTCTTTATCCACTCATCTGTCGATGGACACTTACACTGTTTCCATTTCTTGGCTACTGAATAAAGCTGCAATGAACATGGGACTGCAGATGCCTTTTGTAGATAGTGATTTTTTTTAAAGATTTTATTTATCTGAGAGAGGGAGAATGAGAGATAGAGAGCACGAGAGGGAAGAGGGTCAGAGGGAGAAGCAGATTCCCTGCTGAGCAGGGAGCCCGATGTGGGACGCGATCCCCGGACTCCAGGATCATGACCTGAGCCGAAGGCAGTCGCTTAACCAACTGAGCCACCCAGGCGCCCTGTAGATAGTGATTTTATTTCCTTCGGATATACACCCTGAAGTGGGATTGCTAGATCCTATGACAATTCTGGGGTTTTCTTTGTTATTTTGAGGGACCTCCATACTGTTTTCCATATGGTTGCATCAATTTATGTTCCCACCAACAGGGTACAAGGGTTCCCTTTCCTCCACATCCTTGTCAACACTTATCTTTTGACTTTAATAATGGCCATTGTGACACATATGAGGTGATGCCTCATTGTGGTTTTGATTTGCATTTCCCTGATGATGAGTGATATGGAGCACCTTTTCATGTACTTGTTGGCCACAGGTATGTTTTCTTTAGAAACATGTCTGTTCAGATCCTTTGCCCATTTTATTTTTTGTTTTTTAATTTTTAAGAGTTATTTGTTTATTTTAGCAAGAGAGACAGAGAGAGAGAGAGGGCTGGGGAAGAGGCAGAAGGAGAGGGAGAGAGAGAATCTCAAACAGACTCCCTGTTGAGCACGGAGCTCAAGGTGGGGCTTGATCTCACAACCCTGAGAGCATGACCTGAGATGAAATCAAAAGTTGGATACATAACCGACTGAGCCACCCAGGCGCCCCTCCTTTGCCCATTTTAAAATTGAATTGTTTGTTTTTCTGCTCTTGAGTTGTATGAATTCCTTATATATTTTGCATATTAACCCCTTATCAGATATTTGGTTCATAAATATTCTCTCCCAATAAGTAGGTCACTTTTTCCTTTGGAAACTTTTTAGTCTGTTGTAGTCCCGTTTGTTTTTGTTTTTGCCTGTGCTTCTGGTGGGAAATCCAAAAAATCATCACCGAGACCAATGTCAGGGAGTTTTTCTCATGGTTTCAGATCTTATGTTTAAATCTTTAATCCATGTTGAATTGATTTTTGTGTATGATGTAAAATAAGGACCCAACTTCATTCTTTTGTATATGGATAGCCAGTGTTCCCAACACCCTTTACTGAAGAGACTATTCTTTCCCCATTGAGTATTCTTGGTGCCTTTGTTGAAAATTCGTTGATCATATATGCATGGTTTTCTTTCTGGGCTCTCTACTCCTTTCCGTTGAACTATGTGTTTATATGCCAGTACCTACCACTTTGCTTACCATAGCTTGTAATACAGTTTTAAATCTGGAAGCATGATGCTTCCAGCTTTGTTCCTTTTGCTCAAGATTGCTTTTACTTAACATGAGATTTTCACTTGATCAAAATCCTCTTGCCCAGGCCCTGCCCCACACCTACTGAATCCAAATCTCTTAGCGGGGGAGGGAGAAACCAGGGAATGTGCCTTTTCTGCAAACTTTCCAGGTGACTCTGCTGTGCCCACGACCAGGGACCACTGCTCCGAGCTCACAGGTCAGAGGGAGGCAGTGTGTGCTGTGGGAGGCACACGGGACTTGGGGGGCACAGCCCGGCTCCACTTCTCCCTTGCTCAGTCTTCTGATTCTGGTTGTCCTGCTCTGAGGCTGAGCTTCCTGACCTGAAAATTGGAGGTAATGACATTGTTTGCTTCCTGGGTTTGTTGTGGCTGTGAGCTAATACGTGCAAAGCCTCCGTCAACCCGAAGGCAAAGGCGCTATTTAAATACTTGTGTCGTCCTTAGGAGCCTCAGGGAGTGTGACCTTTAGGAAGAAGAGTTCAACAATTCTCAGTAATTAAAAAAAAAAAAATCATTCTTTACTCAAGTTTCCCAAAGGATATTAAGAGAGCTTCCCAAATGCATAGTCCACAGCAACACTTAATAAGCCATCAATGCTCTCGTACCCGCTCCCCTGGTGCAGCACTCCCCCGCCCCCCCAGTGCCCCCGGGCCCCTGTCCCCCCAGCCCAGGGCCTTCTCTCTGCCTCTTCCCTCACCCTCGCCCTCAGCTGTGCTGCTTATGCGTCAAGCGAGCCCCCTCCCTCCCCAGAAGAAGCCACCTGTCCTGGAGGAGGGAGAATGGGTAGCTGAGTGGAGGATGGGAGGTGTGGGGGGAGGCCTGGCCGGCTGGAGGGAGCTCAGTGAACACGTGGCCGTAATATACGTTTTCTGTCTACCCCATCAGTGAGCGTGAACAGAGCAGCATCAGCAGAAGGAGCCCTTTCCAGCGTCTACGTGTGGTCAGTGTTGGGGATGGGGGCACCCCCTGTCTCGCATGGGACCGGGAGCTAGCCCCCCCCCTTCCTGTCCTTCGGTCCTTTCTCTGTCTCTCTCCTTCTACTTAAAAAAAATCAAATTCTTTTCTCTCACAATCATTTGTTTTATCTAATATTTAACTAGTTTCCTTTTTAATTATAAAAGCAAGTAAATGCTGGTGTAAACATTTTCAAATAGGGCGTATGAGCTTAAGGTCAAAAAGCAAAGGAGTCCTTCTGGGTGTTTCCTTGCCTAGAACATGCGGGAGAGTCACCCTCCGGAGAGGGCTGAGAGCATGCGGTGTCCTGCTCTGGCTCCTCATGCCCCACTTGGGGCTGGGTGGCCGGCACCCTGAGCCACTTCTCAGTCTATGAAAGGCGTGGGAGACACTGGAGAGAGAAGGAGGGACTGACGCTGGGGATGTGTGTGTGTGTGTGTGTGTGTGTGCGCACGCGTGTGTGTGTTTGCACCTGTAACATGTGGCTGAGGATGTGGGTGTCAGGACCAGCCCCCACTTTGGCCAAATTGTGATGTGTCCTTCTGCCCCCCACCTTTGCTCTGTAACATTACCCCCTCCAGCCTGGTTCCTCCCCTCTCCCTCCTGCCCAGTACCAGGTGCCTCAGAGTTCCCTAGATGGAACCCCCGTGTGGCCTGTCATCTCAGGGCTGGTAGAACTGGACAGACATCACAGCCAGGCCTGCTAGGCTCCTAGCAGAGGGCAGGGGAGAGTCTGGGGGGGTATGGGGGGGGCAGGGAAGGAGGAAAAGGGAGCTGGATCCTGGAAGGCCTGGCTGGGGTGGGGGCCAGAGACCTGAGGCTGAAATGAGGTCCTCCAGGTCACCCAGACACCATGCACAAAGGGGGCCTAAAAAACTCAGGCTGGTTCCAGATCCTGTAGGCATTCTATCCTGCAGGGATTTATTTATTCATTTAATCAATCAATTAATCAATCAATCACTTATTAAGCAAATTTGTATTGAGCCCCGTCTATGTGCCCAGCACTGTTTTAGGAACTGGGGATACAGCAGTGAATGAAGAAACCAAATCCCTGCCCTTGTGGAGCTCCATTGGGAGGCAGACAACAAACATAAAATAGGATGGATCATATGTCAGGATGTGGTAAGTGCTATGGACAGAATACAGCTGAGGAAGGAAATGTGAGTGACACTTTTGAAAGAAGGACCAGAGGAAGCTCCTCTGAAATGTTGACTTTGAGAAAACACCAGAGGATATGAAGAGGGAACCTGTGAATATGTGGAGGAAGAGCATGGTAGACAAAAGGGCGAGTGCAAAGGCCCTGGGGCAGGAGTGTGTCTGAAGAACAGCAAGGAAAGTGTGGCCAGAGCAGAGTGAGCCAGGTGAAGGGAGGTAAGAGGTCAAGTCAAGGAGCAATAGGGGCCAGGTCCTTCAGGGCCTTCTACGCTGTACACAGTGAAGACTTGGGTTTCATTTCCGAGAACAGAGGAACCATTAGAGATTTGAACAGGAATGTGCCGTGGGCACACTTATGTTTTAACAGGACCAGATAGCTGCTGGATGGAACCCAGAAGGTAGTAGCAAGGGCCAGGGACTAGGAAGCCCAGAGGGAAGACTCTGTAGTTGAGGCACGCAGAGCCTGGTAACAAGTGGTAGCCGTGGGAGCAGGGTGAGTGCGTCCTTTGAAGGTGGAGTTGGCCGCATCTGCTGGATGATCAGCTGTGCGGACCTCAGGCAGCGATGCCACTCGTGGGCAGGTTGGCAGCAGGTCTGTGATTCCAGGGCTCCATCCACTTAGGATGGGCCCCAGCCCACCTGGGGAGAGGGCCGGCAGGAGCTTGGCGACAGTGACGGCCAGTCCCTCCAGCTGGACTCCCCTGGCCTTACCAAGTGAGCTGGTGGGGCAGGGGGCAGCTCAATGAGAGGCTCTTGGTGAGCACACAGGGGGCAAGAACACAGCCAAGGTCAGACCCACTGCACAGGGCTCCTTCTCCTGCCACAGGCTGGCGGGACTGAGACAGTGCCTCCTGGCATTGACCTGGGCATGAGAGTCTGTGCTGAGCAGCGCGGGCAAAGATGGGGGCTGCCTTTCCAAATTGCACCTCTTGCTCCCCACCCCAAGTCCCCTCTCTATTGACTGGTCAGCTCTGAGGACAGCACATCCTAGGCCCCAGGGGGACCCCCTGAGAGGGGCTGAGTGAATTGCTTCTCTGGCGCCCTCGGTTTAGAGCGGTGGTCCTCAAACAGGGACAGTGCCCCCAAGCAGATATCAGGCAAGGCCTGCAGATGGTTTTGGTTGTCACTGCTGGGTGCAGGGTGGAAGTGATGGTCTTGGCGTCTAGTGGGCAAGGCCAGAGACACTGCCGTATTCCCTACTGTGCACAGAACGGCCCCCAGAGGGAAGAATCGTCTGAATTTTCTGTCCCAACACGTTGGTAGTAGTGAGGTTGAGAAAACCCCCTTTAGAGGCACTAACCTTCTTGTGAGTGGCAGGTTGCAAAACCAAAGTCCTCCCATCTCTGTATGTAAGGCTCCTTCACACCACTGAGAAGGGGAGTCTATTTCTCCACTCCCACGGCTCACTCTGACTGACCACATTTCCAACCAAATGGAAGAGGTACCATGGGATTTCTGAGCTTAGGCCTCCAGAGGTCTTGCCACTTCCATTGTCACTGGTTAGAGCCCCAGGTGACAATGAGAACCAACCACCACATCACGGTCATCTTAAATCATTCAGCCCTGGACAGCCGGCTGGTGAGTATAGCTGCGTGAGTGATCCCAGGAGAAACCAGCAGAAGAACCACCCAGAAAAGCCCAGCCCAAATTGCTGAGCCACAGAATGGCGCTTGTTTGACTCCATCCACTAAGCTTTGGGACTGTTTGTTTGGCAGTGATAGACAACTGATACATGGAGAATCTGTACATTTCGAAGGGGATGTCAAGGGACCATACACCTTCGCCCAAAGGATTGATGGGCACATTTCAGTCAATGGAAGCAACTGAAGCTCAGATTGGGGGCGGCAACAGACTCTGTGTTCCTGTGGATCACATCCCTCTAGGGGAGTGGCCACGGGTAGGGTCCGCATTTAAGGCTGGATCCTGTGCGTACAGAACAGCTATGATCCTGCCCCGTGGGCCACAGGTCAGGTGGGGGAGCAGCTGAAAATCGAAACCAGATTGATGGCAAACCACTGGGGAGAGCGTGTGGCCTTAATGTGGG